TTACAACTGTTAGCATTAACTTTGTGTGTTTGTGTGTATTTGTGGAGGGAGGCAGGGGTTGCTTGACTCATGGGAGCTTCACCTTACTTTATGGTTTGTTGCTGTCAGTGTAATTTGTTTTTGTGTGTCTGCCAGAGCTGCAGGAGGCCTTTAAGGAATTTGACTATGATGCYGATGGATTCATTCATTATAAAGACATCGCAGACTGCATGAGGACCATGGGCTACATGCCTACAGAGATGGAGCTCATCGAGATCATCCAACAAATCAAGATGAAATGTTAGTATTTGACTGTCGGGCAGAAGGTTTGTGCATGGGATTCTGTTCTCCTTCCTTCAGCTTAAAGCCTGTGTGCAGGACTGATGGGTCTTTTTGAAATGAGCAGGTGTAAAAGTCAGAGTAATTTCTCTGTACACTGTGTAAGCCCTTGTGGTTGTGCTATTTTCTGCAAGCTCACAAGGATATGTTAGCCTTTAAAGTTAGGAACACTCAAGTTGTTTTAGCATATTGATTAATGAAGCTCAGGCTGCAGGTGCTGCAGTGGATGGGCTACTTTGTGTATTGTGTGGGTTTTACTTACATCTCCTCTAATGTCGTAATTGTCTCTGATTTATTTTCTGAATGATGAAGTTCAGAGGCGTACGTGTGATTAGAATCTCAAGCTTAAGCTGAATCAATACTGCAACTAAAACCTGGATTCCTGCCATCAGCTTGAAAGAACAGAGCCTCACTTTCAATGTTATTAAAATTCTATTAGTATAATTCAATGTATTATTGTAACCCTTGGGGACAGAAAAAGTATTTGGAGAAACATGACATGTTTTAAAACTAAGTCATAATCTGTTGCAACTGGATTTCAAATAACATGATTTTTAGAGATGTACTATCTTCAGTAAATTAGCCACTTCAGGGATTATATAACGGTAGTAAAGGTCTTATGTATTATTAATACTATTTATCACTTCAGAGGTGAAATACATGGAAGAGAGCAGCTTCAGCCTGCAGCTTTAGTGATCACAATGCTATTCACCAGGAAAAGTGAACCACTAATGTCAGGCCAGCTGCATAATTAGTCAGCAGCAACCCATTAAATGGCAAAGATTTACCTGCAAATGTCATTGGGGCCCATTTAAATGCTGTAGTGGTACTGGTTTTCCAGCAGAGCTTAAAAAACATTAATTACCCACAATGTGAACAGCTTCAATGGAAGACATTTTTTTTGGTGTTGAAAGCTGAAGCAGGCCTGCCAACTGCTGTGACACAAAAAACGTGATTTTTTTTTAAAGGCCAAAACTTCCTGTCATTTTGGGTTACTTATTTGTCACACTCTAAAACTCCCACTCATATTGTGCCTTGAGGAACTTAGTTTATTTTACCCAATATTTGTGTTTCTCAGCATAAAAATTGATTTGTTTTTCAACCTTTCAAAACACCAGGTCTCGTTCATCAACCATTCAGGATTGTAGCAGGTACATCATTTCTTGTTTTGTAGTTTTTAAACTAATAGGAAAGATTGCCACAATAACGTTTTTTATTCAGCATGTAGGATAAGCACATCAGTGCTAACGTTAGCTAGCTGACAGCAATCTTCTGTCATTTTGTGATATTACTGATTTTTTTTCCTCCCCTTTTGTGGTCATAAATCCTGCAAACTCCTCTTCTGTTTTTTATGAAGAGGTGTTAAATAATAGCATTTTAAGAGTACAGAATAAAAATACAGAGGAGCTATCAATGAGGCAAGACATAAAATAGCAAAATAGCTAAGAGAAAATTAAGATTTATGAATACACCCAAACATATAGGTCTTTTTCAACATACCTCCCCACTCCATGAATATTTTAGGAGCCCGCCAGAAAAATGCTCTGTGGAATTGAATCGTGCTTCAATAATAACATCATTAAACTTGTGGAAAGTATGTTCTCACTAAATATAACATAAGACAAGTTTGGGTTTTTCATGAACTCCCATGTTCTTCAGCGTTGGCTTCAGTCCTGCAGGCTGCTGTATGTCAATCTTTCACAGCCTATGGAAGCCCCTGAACCTGCTCTGAAGAACACCCTGAACACTGTTTTAAATTGCACATAATAATGTATGATGGTGCTGAGCCCCCCCAGGAAAACACCACAGATAAAAATACAAAACGCCAGACTTTGGGTCCACAGTGTCAACACTCACTGATCATTGCATAGATGCAGTGAAATTGTGTTTATTTAGCTGCATTCTTTGAAAAACGTCTAATTAAAATCACCTGGTGTCCCAGGTGTAAACAATTTCCTGAAGAAGAGCATTTACTTTCTACATATTTTATTTATGGATCCCAGTTGCTAACTCAGATTTACAGCACTGCCTGACTGAACTCCACTGTAGATTCTGAAACACTAAGTTGAGGGTCTTGAGATAATTTCCAGAAAATAAAATAAATTTCAAAAGCTAATAGCTTATAATCATCATAACTGTTACAAGTGCTAAAAACAGTAGTCTTTAATGGATAAAATAATAAATTATTTAAAAAAAAACAATTGTTAACACTTGTTTTGTCATCATAACTTTACTCATTTGCTTTTTAGCAGTATTTGTATTTGAACCAAAAAGTAGTTGGGGTCTTTTGTGGGTCGAAAGGTGTAAAGTTTGTAAAACATTATAAATATGAAGCTCATAAGGTTTTAAACATCCATCCATCCATCCATCCATCCATCCATCCATCCATCCATCCATCCATTTTCTGTACACGCTTCTTCCTTTTCAGGGTCGCGTGGGTCACTGGTGCCCATATCCAGCAGTCACAGTGCGAGGGGCGGGGTACACCCTTGACAGGTCGACTGTTTTAAACAGTCACATAAAAATTAGTCCAAAAGCAAACAATAGATTCATTTTTTTACTGTATCTGCTGAAATGAACTCTGTAGCACTTTTGCCTCCTCATGAAGGTCAATCACAACAACTATATTGGCACCACAAGACTTTTGACTCTGTGAATCTATGGTCCACAAACTCTTTGGCATACAGTATAATTCATGGAAGAAATCCCCCAAGACACCTTTTTTTTCCACAAGAGTGTAAATCTGTCAGCCCTAATTTATAAGTTTACCTCAAGGCATGAGAGAAAACCCTTTGTGAACTCAAAAGTTTTAGAATCAGCTGCTGCAAAAGAAGCCTTTCAGTCCAGTATTCTACAGCTGACTTTGTACATGACAGTTTCATTACTTACATGATACAGCATCATTCAGAGAGCTATACCTGGTTGTAGTGCCAGTGGTTTTCAGACTAAAATCTTTGAATACATTTCTAAACCACAAAATGAACACATGGCTTTACTTTTCTTGCACTTCTACAAAAAGCACACACAAAAAAGACCAAAATTATTGGCCTGCAGACGATCAAATAAGCCTGCTTTTTGTTAAAATAARAACCTGAGTCATCTTGTTGTATCAGTCTAATGACCGTGGGAGATCAAGTGAGACCAAACCTGGACTGAATGATTAGAGGAAGCACAAAAGGAACCTGGTTAAATCCATGAATTCTCAGTAGCATATGCTGAGAATAATTAATTTTCAGAGTGAGTCTGCTACTCAGACTAGGTAGGATACACGGTTAGTCTAAACATGGAAATTTAACTATTTAAGGACACTTACCCAGAATTTTACAGTTTTGGACAAAAAAAAGTAAAACGTTACCATTCTTCATAAGATTCTTACCTTTTCCCTGTAGGAGACAGTGATAAACAAAGTAAACTCAAATGGAAGCTAAAGTTTGTACAACTTTAGAAACATAAAATAAAAAATTATGTTTAATTTGTTGTCAAAACACATTAGCCACAGATTAAACAACAGCAAAGTTCTTTGTTTGTTACTGGATGGATAACCTTGATTTTACCCGTCTTCCACCCTAATGGAGCATTTAAACACTCAGCTTGTGTCCTCCGTTTTTCTTCAGGGGGTGGACACGTAGACTTTGATGATTTCTGCGAGTTGATGGGACCCAGGATGCTGGCTGAGACCGCTCACATGATCGGCCTGAAAGAACTCCGCTGTGCCTTCAAACAGGTAAAARCTTCCTGAAAGTGTGGGTTATAGTGAGATGAGTATCAGTCTGACAGAGTTCAAGAGGTTATTGGTTAGGTTTTTGTGCTACATGGTCAAGTGTTTCGCATAAATATCTAAAGGTGTGTTGTTTTTTTTACCAAAGGTTTGACACTATGAAGAACTGTTTCTGTTACCAATAACAATGGCAGCAAAGTCTGCATCTATAGAGTCTGTGCAGTGACATCAAAATTGTTTAATCTGCCATAACAGAAAGCACTTTGCCATGAACTGCATACAGCTACATTCATTTAAAACATCTAGATATTATCCTTGGGCAAAGGCCAGGGTGACCATATCAGAACCTTTGTTCCTACTTATACTTTCTACAGAACATCAAGTTTATTGTTTTTCTGGGCCTCCACCAGAGCCCAGGCTTGTACAGGAGATTGAGAGATGCCTGCCAGATACAGTCAGACTCATCTTTATGTAAAGCACATTATTATACCAGCCTCCTGGAGGGCTGGACTTTATTCATCTCTGGAGTTGTCCTGGGTGAATAGAAATGAGTTCGGATAGGTTAGAGTTTTGTTCCATGGTAGGGAAGTGAGATCCTCTTTGCTTTCAGATAAAACAAAAGGGTTCAGATTCAGAGTACTGAGCGTTTTTCACAATATGCTGGGAGCAGCAACTGGAAGCTGTGCTGTATGGGGGCTCGGTGCCATGTTGGGAGAAAGGAATGTCCTGCCTCGTCTGAACCGGAGTGTTAACTTGTTGGATTTTTGTGCTGATCATACTCTGTTCATATGAAGCCGTTCACTTGGCACTGGTACACCTTGTTTTGTTTTGGTTTGGTTTAGTTTGYTGAGTGGGGATGGATAAACAACCCACATTAGCAGGGCCTCATGATTGGGCCRATTAATCTTCCCCAAGAGACACTGAGGAAACACTGTGTTCTAAGCTTCTCGGAATCCAAAAAGGTCCCCAAGAATATTATTTGTCTTTGATTTCTCAAAGCCAGGCAATGGCTCTGAGGTGCAAAGAGGTCTCTAATTCAGTGCCACAGGCATCACACATTATCATGGAGTCCCATCACCATTTTGTGGCAATTGTGCAGGTTGTACCCAGTTAGGACTCCAACCAGTGTACTTTAAGTTTTCCATGTCAGGGTGATTACAGCTTTCCCAAACATAGGATCTGGGCCATTTATCAGTTCCCYTGCCTGTCTAAAGTACACCTTAGATCACATGTTTAGGGTTAATTCTGTAATCAGGCCATCACTGCGGCAAAGATCACTGAAGTAGTTAAAACGACTCTACAGTAGCAAAAAGTAGTTTCCCCCTGAGTTTTGAATCCTAAACCAGTAGAAAAGAAGAAGCGTTAAATATCCAACCAGAACTCCACTGGGAGCATGCTGATGCAACTAAAATGACATTATCAAGACATAAATGTTTAGGTGTACTTGTACTAACAATGCAATTCATGAATTGTTTCAGRGTTCACATTTTGTGACGGTTTTGGTCATTTTTWTGAAGATTCATAAATTATCCAAGACTGGTGCTACAGAAAAAGAACAGTTTTACAAAGCCATCACTGAAAGCCCCGCATTGCTTTAACATTTATGATGCTCGCTCTGACATCAGAGTCGACCCGGTCAGTCCAGCACCCAAGGCTCTTGTTGAGTTGTTTCTGATGAAGCAAAACAAATGAAGTGGTTATTTTCTATCRACACACAGCCTTACACACATGGGTACATTTCAGTAACACATTACAGCGTAATAGGTCTTTAATGGGTACTGTAGACGCAGACTGATGGTGTGCTTATAATGGTTGCACCTGAGAGAGTTCAGTTTGTTACTGGGAGTCAGTTATCTGTAATTAAGCTTCGTGTTTCTGCTTCGGCTTTTTTATTGTCCCCCATGAAGAGATTTTAGAGAACATACAACATCCAGCTCTTTAAATAGCCCCCAAACAACACCTTCTTTTCTATGAGTAATTTGCACGTGTTTGCTTCAATTTTAACACCTTTCTTCATCTCACTTTCAGAGATCCTACTGAAGACCAGGATTGTACAAGTTTTGACTTCTGAAATGTTATTTGTGAGAATGAATGGGTTTCAAATTAAAACTCAGCCTTAAAGCCTCAACATTTGGGAGAAAACGTGCTGATTTTTTTCAAAATTTATTTATTCCAAATTAGAGATGCTTCAGAAGCTTTTCTCACTTAACTAGCACATCACGAGTCAGCAGTGAACCATCTGTAGACTCAAGCTGTTTTCAGACATCCAGGAAGCTTCATGCTGCTGTTATATAACTCAAACCCTTTCTCATCATTGCACTGTTAATTATTTTCAAATAAATCTTCAGCCTTTCCTCATTATAGTTGACTCATGCTAATGTTTCATTCTGTGTTCATTGTGTCACCTTTGATTCTCCTCATCTGTGATCTACTTATTTGCRCGCAACATGATCGAATCTCCATTTCCTGCTCTCCACTAACCTGACACTTTACAGTTTGACTGCAATGGCGATGGGAAGATCACAGTGGAGGAGCTGAAGGAGGGCATGAAGACCCTCCTTGGGGAGAAGCTGAAGAAAGGAGAGCTAGAGGAGATCCTCGGTGATATTGATCTCAATAAAGATGGCAGCGTTGACTTCGATGGTAGGTAGCCCAACTAAAACTCATAATGTAAACGTGATCTTTTAAGAAAACAAAATGAGCCATCAACTAAAATTACAAAACGTGATGCTCATTCTTCATACATTTAAACTAATCAAAGGTGACATACTGCAAAGTAACATGTACAATGAGATCCCGAATCAGTCACAGGAAACCGGTCCAGTCCTGAGACTTGAATGTTTATTCATTAACCTTTAATGCTTATCACATTACAGCACTGTGGTCCATCTGACTGAACCCCTCTGCCTACAAGATCCAGACAAAATGACCCCAATTCACATGTCCTTACAATGTTTATAGAAAATGTGGTCACACCCCGGATATGCTATCATAGCAAAGAAGGAAGTAAGTTATAGAAACAACAATCAAACTAAAGAGATACATGGTGATCCTCTTACTGTTTAAAGTAAATGGTTACAATCGACCACAAAGTCTAAAATCTAAGAGATGTAAGTCAGTCAGTCACAAAATATCTTACAATATGGCTATAAAAATCTAAGAAAGAAAGAAAGAAAGAAAGAAAGAAAGAAAGAAAGAAAGAAAGAAAGA